TAAGGTTGTTTTTTTTGTTGGTTGGTTTTTGCAGATAAAGTGTAAGGTTTTGTTTTATTCCTTTACAATATGAGATTGGACCATATTTGTATTAGGGCTATGCAATATTATAAAATTAGGCACAACAGGATAGACCCATACATGCATATACGTACAAGAACTTTAGATAAGAATGTGAAATACAAAATAGAATATTTCATTATAATTGTCTCTACATAATTTACATTTGTAAGCAACTCATTCATAACATTAAGATGAGATCTTTAAACCACTGAGTGATTGTTTGAGGACAAGTTTCTTAGAACGCAGAATGGCATGGAGAATTTATCCTTGTTCAGATTACAATTTCCATTTACTGTGTAAGATCATAGTTCAAAAGAATGTGGACATCCAAAAATATTAAATCTCATTTCAAACTTAATTTAATAACAGTAATGATTTCCTTTCAGAATATAGCAATGCTGTGATGTGACAAAGAGACATTTTAATGAAGCATTATTCTCATGTCATCTCCAACACAGTAATTTATGAATTTTTGTGCAAAATAATGAAGTCCAGTGTCCAAAGTATATTATATTGTTGCTGTTGCATGAACCATAATGTAAGACCTATTAAAAAAATTTACATAAATGTTAAGGCATTTTTCTATTGTTCAGACAAAATGGGGATCTACAATTGTTTGTCCCATTCATCTTCAAAGATTTGTACATCAAACTGATTTCTCAATAAGTGTTATTTCTAAAGGTGAATTACAGGCTTTCTTTTTTTTTTTTAAATAAAAAGTTTTATTGGTTTTTTTCCATTTTTACAGAAGCTTAGGACACAATGTGGTGGTCAGGGTGTCAGATCATTCAACAACAAAATCATATAAGTATAGCTCAAATTAATTATCAAAAATTTCCTCTCTGTTTCCTAAATATAATATTATTTATTAAAATTAATACAGTTTAGATAAAATTCAATCAAGCAAAAATCCTCAATCACATTGTGATTATAATAATCTATATCCTGTTTTTAAACTTTACTAATTACAGTTCTCATACTCCAATTATGTTTTAATGAACATATAATTAGGATTTCAGGTATCCTTAATGATAGATCATTCATTGAGACTAATTTTTTCCCTATCACAAATAGCTCTTCCTCTCTCTCTATTATCATATTTAAAATAGTAATATAAATCCAACAAACATATTCTGTCATATTCTGTCATTTCATCAATCTACATCTATAAAAAATCTTTTTAATCCCTTTAATAAAGTTTACACCTTCAAATACTTACCAGCTATAATATCAGCAAATTCCCATCCTTCATTCGTCATTAAATCAGACAAAATCTCTCTCTCAATTATAAAATAATTATCATGTTTAAAATAATAATATAAGTCCAAAAATGCATTTCTATTTTTAAAAATATATTCTATCATTTCATGAATCGACGTCTATAAAATCTTTTTAACCCCTAATAAGATTTACTCCTTCAAATAATTATCAACTATGATAACAATAAATTCACATCCTTCACTCGTTATTAAGTCAGACAAGATCTCTAAAGCCTTTTTAACCCATCAAATGACATTTTATGTCACGTTTAAACCTAACTCTAGCTTTCTTTCTATGCCAAGTTAATTCCCATATTAAAACCTTTCGCTTATCAAGCCTTGAAATTTGGTTACAAAAATTTCTGACCAATTCAAACTGAACAAACTTTTCTTCCCTTTCTGCCAATATCATCTGAATATTATATTGACTTTTATTCCATGTTATAGTTAGAAATAAGTTATCCACTTTATTGTAGTTTCCAGAGGATCGTATCTGAATGTCAATCTTTGTTATTTTTGGTAGTTGAACTGAGTCAATTACAGTTATTTCTTTGTCATCAAAGTTATCCATCAGTTGTAGGTAACATTGTGTAAAATTAGTTGGCTTAGTGATTTCCACGTTTTCTCCCAGTGTAGTTTCACAATTGGGTTGTAAGCATAGTGTCTCTGACTCTTTAAATTGTATATCTTGGTGTGTAAAGGCCTGTTCAAAATCACTCTGCTCTTCCTCTATTGTTCCTTGTTCTATATCTTGATTCATTATTGGAGGGTCAATTTGAGGTTCCATGGTAACATCTTTAAGTTTTCTCCAAGGTTTCAAATAACTTTTGAAGTCTTCTGTCAATTCTAGAATTTTTTCCAGTATTAAATCATAGTCAAGATATGGATAACCTTCTTCCATTTTTGGTGGTAGACTAGCCTGTTCCTTTATTAGAGACTATGTTTGAAAAAGATCCACAAATGTCCACCTCCAAAGGTCTAATAGCCAGCTTCACCACCCAGCTGTCAGGTTATCTTTACTCTTTTGTTATCAATGAAAGTCCAATCCTTCTTCAAATAACAAAGAAAAGTACAGTTGCAATGTTGCTTTTTGCCACCAAATGTCCTCAATGGACTATAGACTCTTTTTTCCAAATTAATAAAGTTAAAGAGAAAAAAAGTTAAAAAAATAAGCAAATATTTATAAATAAAACTTTTACCTCTTTTTCCGGTATAGGCAGCTGCCGCTTTCTTAGAAAAGGGAAGTAGTCAAAAGCTCTTCATAGGAAAAATCAGGATAGCAAGAGAAGGAAAAGTCTCACCCGGATTCACCACAGTGGTTCTTCATGCTTAGATGTTCTTTGACTTGTGGTTGGTGCGGCTGAGTAATCAGCCATTTTACTGGCCGATCTTCTCCGTCGGCCCTCAGAATTAGCTCGGACATCTGGAGGAGCCGCCGCTCCTCCGTAGCCGAGCACAGCCTCCTTAACAGTAGTCACGCCCTCCAGGGAGACTTTCGACCCACCTAAGGGTCTACCGGCAGAGGGAAGCTAGCTGACAAAGAGACGAGTCTCTTCATCCAACTAGAGGCGCAGCGATCCGGAACTGGAAGTGCACAGGCTTTCTTTTCTGAAGATTTAGAAATCATTTCTAATAATTTAGGTGTCTCTGAAGCTAGTAACATTGCTTATGTAGATTCAGATGTAAGTATATGTTATAGTTGTCAATTCAGTACTGTCAATAGGTAGTGACAGACAAATGATATTTATCTTTTACCATAGAAAAAGATAAAACACGTTTAGATCTGGATTTAGCACCAGAAAAAAATCAAAATGCAATTTTCCAGATATATCATATTACAATTTTGGAACCATTGCAACAATACTATAAAATAACGCTGGATCACATTTTTTCCCCAAAAGTTTTTCTTCCTGAGTGTATCACATAGAACTCTTGAGAAAAATTGAATTAACTTTTAATGATTATAATATATTTAATGACATAAAAGTTCTGACATGAAGCATGGTTTCAGCAGGGTTTAAAATGTTTTGGCTGTTGATTTCTGTTTGTATTCTTGTTGCAAGGTCCAATGATAGCATTGATGGATTCCAGTTGCCCTAATACCATTTTTCCATTGTGGCAACGTCCTGGTGAAATCTGAAAGATGACCATATTCTTTCATAGGCTATCAAAACTAAACCAAATTTCTACATTCAAATTGGTTTAAATCTAATTGATGACTTGTATGTATGCAAAATTATAAAAATCAGAATAATGAAAAAAATAAAACTAATTGGATCACCCTCATAAATGTTTCATTTTCCTATCATGATTGCCTGGGCTTTGCTAATTCCTTGACAATATGTTTTATATTATTTATTTATTCAATTTACATGGTCACACACCTCAAACATATGCTCTGAGTGGTTAACAAGGAATAAATGAATAAATAAACCAGGAAGCCAATAACTTAGACTTGGCTCTGTAAGATGTAGTCATCCATCATTTACACTGACTGCTAACCCTCCTGACATTACATCCTTTCTAGAAAGTTTTATAAATTGCAGCTATGCCACACTAGAAGATTTAATATTAGAGTAGGAATGTATTCAGTTAGAAATCAAGATAAGATCAAATCTACAAATCTAAAACAGCAAATCCTTTCTGTATTCTATATTAAGGGCAGGCAATGAGATCTCATGGTCTTTTTTAAATTTAATTTTAATTGTTCACTTAACATCAATTCACATTTAAATGATTTATTCATGAAAATGCTTGAATGACATAATGCAGCCACAATTACTTTACTGAGGATATAAGCTTAATTTTCTGTCTTTGAAAGATTTATCTTAAAACTGAAATTTATGTTCACTGGATTGTGCCTGTATAGCTTAAAGTGGCATTCAAATGCCTCTTTAGCTGCTATTGAAATTGCCTTTCCTCTTTGTCAGCTGAATTCTTTGTCAGTTTAAAATATCAGGGAGCACTAGGATGCAGTCTCAGTAGTAAAAGCTACCATAATGATAATTTTGAGAGATGATTTCTATTTACTATTAATATTTTCAAAAGCTCCACCACATAGTAAACCAATTGCAGGACTGGCTAGAACTATTTGTTACCCAAGTACATGTATGTTAGTGGCTGGACACAACTGAGTATAATTTATTGTTTGGAAATGTTTGTCCTTTCTGGCCATAAGAAGTCAGTAAGCATTTGGCAGAATTCTGATTGGACAGGGACAAGAGTCAATCACTGAGACTGGACGTATGGAGTAGAAATAAGGCCAGCCTCCTTTCCTTCTCATAGTAACAAAGTCCTTCTTCTCTAATCTGTCAGTTAAGATTCAAAGAGTATCAGTTGGATATAGGAAATGAAAGGTTGGTTTATATAAAGTCTTTTGAGCTTGAGCATGAGCTTTGCTTAGCAACTACTACTAAACTCTTTTAAATAAGTACCAGATGACTGAATACTCATTTCAGGAATTAGGTATTGTGACATATAGATGGAAATTGAAGACTAAATAGTCCTTGGAAATCTCTGGGAACTTTCTGTGAGGGTAGGTGAGAAAACTATATAGTACGTATTAATAGGTATCCTTTGTGCTTGGTATATATAGATGCAAATATCTATTGTATGTTTTTCCTTGTGGACATGCCTAGTAACTAAGTCTTAATTATGTGTATTTTTTTTCTTTTGCAGATAAGACATGGATGCATACTCCTGAAGCTTTATCAAAGCACTATATTCCTTATAATGCAAAGGTGAGGTGTGTGTCTGCTAACTTGTTTCTACTAACTTGATAGCTAGCAATTGTCTAAATCAGTGGTTCTCAACCTTTCTAATGCCGTGACCCCATAATACAGCTCCCCATGTTGTGGTGACCCCAGGGGCGTGGCCACCGAGTGGATGTGGCCACTGAGTGGGCATGGCTACCGAGTGGGCGTGGCTGCCAAGTGGCCGCCACGGGTCCCACCGCCGCAGCAGATGCACAGCCGCCCTTCCTCTTCCTTGATGCAATCTTTCGCCCGCCCCAGTGACTCCCTCCCCTTTCTGGGGTCCAGGCATACCCTCCGGAGCCCCGGTGTTTACCGACTGCAGGAAGCGCAGGGTGCCCACGTAATCCTGCTCGGTTGAGGACACAGAGGCGAAGACGCAGCTGGTGGTCCATATCCTTTGCCGGTTCCAAAGGGAGAGCACTGGTGCTGGGGACAACTGCCCCCGCCGCCGCTGCCACCGACGGCTCAGATACCGACTGCACTTCCATGGCTCCTGCCTGCCTCAGCTTCCAGATCATCCCGACCCCACTTTCCTCACTCCGTGGCTGGCTTTAGGCGCCCTCCATCCCCGAGGCGCATGCCAAACGCACCACAAGGATCGAGTCTCTCGAGCTCGACCTACCAGCAGGAGCGCCGCGCTGGGACATGGTGAGGAGGCGGTGTCGGCGGCTAGGAGCAGAGCACAAACAGCGCTGAATGGAGAGAAGTGTTTCTCTCCATTCAGCGCTGTTTGCGCTCTGCTCCTCATAGCTGCCGCCGCCTCACCATGTCCCAGCGTGGCGCTCCTGCTGGTAGGTTGAGCTCGAGAGACTCGATCCTTGTGGTGCGTTTGGCGTGCGCCTCGGGGATGGAGGGCACCTAAAGCCGAGCGGGGAGTGGAGCGCGCACCAGCAGGAGCGCCGCGCTGGGACATGGCGAGGAGGCGGCATCGGTGGCTACGAGGAGCAGAGTGCAAACAGCCCTGAATGGACAGAAGCGAGTGGTGAGTGGAGCGCACGAAGGGACTTGACCAGGGCAGCGGGCAGAGGGGAGGGTCGGCTCCGGAGGTGGAGGTGGCACTCAGAAGTGAGGGAGGGGGTGGTGGCGAGACGAGCCCAAAACAGTAGTCTGGAGAGCGCAGCAGGCGACAAGGGGAGAGGCCGGAACAAAGAGAGAAGCGGCTGGGCAGCAGGGAAAATGAGGGGATTTCTACGATACGATGCAAAAAAAAAAAAACCTTGCCTTGGCACAATGGGAAATAGTGAGAAATTGATGCACAAAAGTAATTTGGGGCTCATGTTGCTTTGCGATCCTTGACGCTTAGAGAGATAAGTATGCAAGAATTTTTGATTCATTTATTTAACTTTAACAAAACAAACTACAAACTTAAACTCCATTGAAATAATTAGAGAGTACCCGTATACGCCGGAAAATACAGTACATATATTCCTCTGCCAAGTAGAGGAAGCTCAGCGGCAGGCCAGAGAGGAAACTTACTGTTTTTAGTTGTTTTCTCTCTTGCTTTCCGCTGCTTGCTCTCTCTCGCTTGTGCTCTGTATTGCTTTCCTCCACGTGCTCCGAAACCGAAACTTCCTAACTTTAAATAGAAAAAAGCTGCGCATGCGCAAGGAGGAGGGAGGCAGGAACGGCACTTTCTATATAGCCAAATAAGGAAGTAGAACAATTAGAAAGGGGGAAAAAATGGCAGACAGCGGGGTTTGGCGACCCCCATGAAATGGTCGATCGACCCAAAATGGGGTCGCTACCCATAGGTTGAGAACCGCTGGTCTAAATCATATTGTTGTTGTAATTAGTAAAGACTTCATTCTTTCAGGGGTAATTTGTTGGGTTCATATGGCAAAAGAAGAGAAACTAAGTGCAAGTGGCATCTTGTTTCTTTTAAGCAATAAAAGAATGTGGGGCAGGTTGAGGTAGCTCTTATCAGAGTTTGAACTGATACTGCAGAAGACTTTTGAAATTAGGCTGAAGGCCACTTTTATTTTTAGGACCAGAAAATATCCATTCATAATATTCAAACATTTTTTTCCATTTTCTTTCATAAGATATGGGGTTTTTGGTGCTCTCTTGAGTTTCATTGTTTTCTTGCAGGCATTTCATTACCCAGTTAGGTAACATCAGTATTAGAGGGGGTAGTTTTTTAAGTGGGCTGTTGTTTACTGTTTGTTTGTCTTAGTGGTATTGCTTTGATTGGGATATTGTATACTGCTTAATTGTTAATCTAATGTTAACCTTGGTGTTAATCTCTGCTTATCTGGGTGTTGATTGTTGGCGAGGAGGTGTAATGGTATCTTTGTTTCCTTATTAGCTTTTTGACTGTCTCTTTTGAATGGTATGCAGATGTTATTTATCCCTGTGTGGCCATGAAATTTATCCCTATGATGGCTGATTTGTCCGAGTGCCATCTGAATGGTTTGGTCTACAATGCTCACAGTTTCCCCAGTTGAAACTATGGTTAAGTCTGCTCATATGTTGTGCAATTAAGGAGTTTTCATCTTCTCTTCTGACTGCTGTTTGCTGTTCATGGATGTGCTCTGCTAATTTCCTGCCAGTCTATCCTACATAGTGGTTATCACAGACTTTATACTGTATGTTATAGATGACTCCTGTTTTTTTTATTATTATTATTCTAGGCTACTGAGTCTTTGATTTACTTAAGATGTTTTTCTGGGCTTTGATGGTTTCTATCCTTATAGTGATGCATTGTGGTTATCATAGTCTGTTGGTGGTTTCTGAGATGTTTTTGATGTATGGCAGTATTATCCTTTTAACAGCTTGTGTTGGTTGCGCAGCAATGTGTTGAATGTCCAGGCATTTTTTGATAAAGAGGCATGAGTATCCATCTTGTTGGAAGATGTAGAGATGATTCTTTTTCTGATGTTCAGGGTTGTTGCAGTGTGTTTGTGCTCGTCTAAATAATGTTCTTGCACAGTTTCTCTTGTGGGAATTTGGGCTGTTACTTTGGTAGTGGAGCAGTTGGTTGGTTTGGGTGTTTTTATAATAGACTTGTGTTTCTAATGTGCCATCATTGCCTCTGCTGATGAGGATATCAAGGGAGAGTATTGTTGTTTCTTCTTCCCTTGTGAATTTTATTCTCTTGAATATGCTGTTGATAGATTCATGAGTCTTCTCTTTTGTAAGAATTACTAGTCATCCTTTGACCCAGTGCTTTCTACTGCCTATCCAGGTGGCAGAATTTTTACAGTATATAAATAATTATCCTATTCAAAGTTATTGGGCAGGAGAGGGTTAAATTACCTACCCATTGTACTTATTTCCATACAATCAGTAGCATAGTTTTCTTACTTTTAATATTAAAGGGAAAAAGCTCTATTGATCAGGATTATGGGAGGGGAGGCAGAACTTCAACTTCCTTTTTTGAAGCACAGAAATAAATCTCATAATCAAAATGTCGAGGAGCAAGGGAGCTTCAACTGCCCCTCAAAGAGTCCATTAGTATACAGAACAAAAACTTTCAAGACTATTTGGAAGCTGGAAGAGAATGCAGTCTCCCCCTGTTTGCATGAGAGAAATTAACATTCTCAGCAGGGAGAGTGTCTTCAAAAGCCAGCTTTGAAAGATTCATTTCCAGTTTCTTCCTCCTTATGTGCTATATTTGGATAGGAAAATGTCATGCATATATAATCTTTATGGACCTTTGGCTGATTATGTTGGAAATGATACTGCAATAAATAAAAATGTGCATGACAGTAAATAAAATATGTTAGCACTAGAAAGTGAAGGTTAAGAAAAAACGTCTCATTGACTGTATTTTCTGTCTTGCACATATCATGCATATTAACCATTATCAATAGAAACCATCTGCACTCACTCTAGAACTGGAAACTGATAGATAACCACAGATATAGGATCAACTAATGAGCTTGAAACTTCAAGAGTTCGTCCTACATTCCTATTATTTCAATAAAATAATATTTGTACAGTATTAAAATTATTAATATTGCGTTGTTTAGATAACCTGGAGTTTTGATTTAGGGTATTGATATAAATATGCAATTACTTGCCTTTTTATACAACACTGAGTGTAACTTTAGGGGAAAACCGCTGCAAATGGCATATAGTCACGCCGGCCACATGACCAGAGAAGTGTCTTCGGACAACCCTGGTTCTGTTGGCCAAGAAACGGAGAAGAGTACTGCTCTCTAGAGTCAAGCATGACTGGACATAGGAAACTTTTCTTTTACTTTTTATTGGTTGTACAATGAAGGTTTCGGCCTTAAGCTGATTACTTAGTATTGAAAGCTCCACTGTATGATTGTTACGGGTGTGTGTTATTATATGCATTTATGTATATGCATAGATAGTCATCACTTAACAACTGTTCCGGTAGTTTACAGAATTTACAACAGAACCACTACCACCTTCCGAAAAAAACCCATATTTATGAGTCAATTTGAAAGTTATGGCCGTTGAAGTGCCTCTGCAGTTGTTCACCCTTACGACCAGCCACAGGGACACTGCAGTCCCCCTCTTATCTCCCCCATTCATCCCTTCGGGTCCCCACAGGTCTTTGGCCAACTCTCAGCCTGGCCACTCAGCCACCCAAGAGAGCCCAAAAGCCAGGGATTTGAAGCTGCCAGCCTGGATAGTGGCTCTAACAATTTGTAGGCTTTGGCCTCCTTTGATGTCCATAAACTCTACAGACAAATGAAGCTTCCTTAAAAAAAACAGAGCCTCCTGCAGGCTTGTGACAATAATGCCTGCTTGCAGAATAGCATAAAGTTGTCACGAGGCAGCATCTCTAGGAAAGCTGAGCCTCACGTGGCATCAGTTGGGAGCCTCTGCAAAAAGCAAAAAGATAATTTGGGTGCTGTGGACCCTGGAGGTGACTGGGAAGCAGGCTAAGTCCTGCAAATCCTTTCGGTAGGTGTGGATGAATGTCTGTGTCTGCATGTGTGCCCATGTGTGAGAAAGAGCAAGCGTACATTGTAACCAGTTTTTTGTTACTTTAAATTCACTGGATCTTT